ATTGTTTGCTCGGAATGTTGGTTGTAACATTCTGTTGCCCAGGTGATAAAGAAAATATTCTTCTATCTTTGACGTTAGGGTTCAATCTAGGGTGAAGGATCCCCTTACCACTCCTTATAAAATTTGAAAAGAATAGTATAATAGAGATAGCTAAAAAGCTAAATATTCAATAAGCTAATTTTAAAAACTCATTTATTTTATTTTTTTTTTAGATTTTTCAAAAATAGCATTTTGAGTTTAAAAAGCTCTTATATTAAGCTATTTATCAAACACTTAAATTAGATTTTTCATCTGGTCAAACATCTAATAGACCTAAATAAGGTAAAAACTCTCTAAAATGCTCTTTACTTAATAAGGCCTTAATAAGATCCCTTCAAAATCCCAAATCTCAACCCACATATTTTGGCTCAAAACGCTGATAACCAAACACGGTCCAAAACTATTTCGCCAAATATTACCATGTACTAAATTTTCTTTAAACCCATTGTGTACTCACTCCGTAGACCGTAGTTATAAAAACTACTAAAAGAAGGGAAGGAAGGAAAAAAAAAATGTACGAAGTATTTTAAAAAATATCTATCAAGACAACAACAACCCCCCAACTTAACTATTAGTATCAATCATGTATAATTATCAAATGATGATCAGGGTGAACTAATGAAGGAAGTAACGGGTGTTAGCACGGTTATAACCTTATATTTATTAGTAAAGTATTTCGAAGTAAGTAGAGCTGTTAGTTTCTGATCCGAACCGTTGAAGCCGACTGTTTTAAACCGATCCGAAAAGGAATCGAACCGTTAAAAACCCATTTTTTGAAAATCGAAAACCAAGCCGACCCAATTTTTCCAACCCGAAACTGAACTGAACCGAAGTTCTGCAAATCGTTAATGACCCGACCCGTTATCAAGTCAAACCATTACAACCGAAAACCGAAAGCAACCCAAACCGATTATGTCCGTACCCGATAGTAAACCAATCCATTTTAAACCGAAAACTGTTTAAACCCGGCAAAAATCCAATTAATCTGAACCGTTCCAACCCGTAACCCGCTGTGACCGAACCTTTATAACCTGTAACTCGTTAGTACCGAACCGTTTACAGCCCATAACCCATTGAGACCGAACTGTTTACAAACTATAATCCATTATGACTGAGCCGTTTACAACTCGTAACCTAATATGTTTATGATCTGATTTGTTTCAACCCACTACTCGATAAACCCAACTTATTTAAGACTTAACTCGATTATAACCTAACTTGTTCCTATCCATTATCTAATTAACCAGACTCGATAATGATTAGACTCAATTTTAACCTGATATGATTTGAACTGAAACACGCTTCATATTGGTTAAAACTGTTTCCAAACAGACCTAATTCAATCCAAACCGATTATGACCTTAACCAATAATGACCCAACTCGGTTTCACCCGATCTGTTTTGAGGCGAAACCCGTTTTCAAACCGACCCAGTTTAACCAAACTGATTATGACCCAAACCGATTACAACCCGACCCGATTAGGACCCGAACTATTTTGAACCAAAACCCGCTTAAAACTGGCTAAACCCATTTTCTAACCGACTCGGTTTAACCCAAACTGATTATGACCCAAACCGATTACAACCTGATCCGATTAGGACCCGACCCGAAATAGAAACCGCAATTAAAAAAACCAAACCGAACTGACCCGCTCATTTTCAAAATCGACCCAAATCAACCCACTAATCATTTCAACCCGTTATAAACTGATCCGTTATAACCCGAGACCGATAAACCCAATCCGAAACTGAACCGTTTACCAATTGACACCCCTAGAAGTAACACATTCACATTTCGAAAATGAAACTGAAAGACTTATATATATATATATATATATATATATATATATATATATATATATATATATATATATATATATATATATATATATATATATATATATATATATATATATATATATATATACGGGGAGGTTCCGCTAAAAACAGAGCTTATGGTGAAAACTAAAAACAAGCAATCTTAGCCATTCATTACTAGCACAAAAGATCAGACGGTTCTAAAGCCCTAAGATCATTCCAACCTTACATATAATCAATTCAACCGTTTAAAAGGTCTTTTTTTTTTTTTTTTTTTTTTTTTTTTTATGACAAACGCAACGTTTTAAAGGTCACTACATGCTAAAATAAAGTAACTTTATCTAAATTGACGATATTTACATAGAGTCACTATATATAAAAATAACGTAACTATATACAAAAATAGGGTAGCTATTTCAATTTTTACAATATTTACATTAAGGTCACTATATACAAAAATAGGGTAACTATTTCAATTTTGACCATATTTACATAGAGGTCACTATATACAAAAATAGGGTAACTATAACAATTTTTACAACATTTACATTAAGGTCACTATATACAAAAATAAAGTAACTATATCGTCTGAGTTTTTGACACCATTTACATAAAGGTCACTATATACAAAAATAAAGGTCACTATATATTATAAAAATAAGGTGACTGAAACAAAATTTACAACATTTCCATAATTCTAAGGTCATTATATCGAAAATAAGGTAACTATATATTAACTTCGGGTAATTATATCAATTTGACACCATTTACCTAGAGGTCGATAAATATAAAAATAAGTATTAAAAAAGTCTATGTAGGATTCGAACCTACATCCCGTGATTACACGGTGCTCGACCAATTGAGCTAATAGGCTTTCAACATGCCAAAACAGCCAATAAAAGCATACCAACATCACAGACCAACATCATACAGACTGAAGCAAAACAAGCTTGACAAGATCAACGTTTCAAGAACAGAAGCAGAGGCAAATAAAAGCATACCAGGATATCATGATACGAGCAAGCCACCTGTATATGAGGAATCCCAACTAAATGTAGATATTGAACAGGCAGGCACCAAAAATCATACAATCAGAGATAAATCTTCACAAAGGCTGAAGAAGGTTACTATACTAACTCCAGCTGACAAGGTAAGATTAGGCATGATAGAGCTCGAAATAACGCAAACTAGCATACTCGAATTTTAGAAATAAATTTCTAAGGACACACTTCTACCATTTAACAGATATAAGCCTATGAGGCTATGATTCACAAAACAATACATATCTAGCTCCGTATCAGAGTGCACTTAGATTCTGGTACCATTACTTCAAAAGAAAGTCTATAGTAGGATAACAATACAATTGACCACTTGGTATTAACATTCAACTCTCTTACTCTTTGAGTGGAATAATAACAATAACTCAAATGTCTAGACTGTCATGGATGATCTGCACTACTGTTCGAATAAAATCTTAAATGAAAATGTACAAATCTACTGCAGTATTAAACAAAATATCGTTCACAATCACAATCACAAGCAGAACTTATTTAATCACATTCTTTCTTATACACAACATATAACAACCCATTAATAGGCAAAATCACATATCTACACATCACAGCACACAGGAGTGAAATCAACACGCTCACAATCACAAGCAGAACTTTCACCCAATCACACACCTATACACAAACGAGCAGCTTACAGTCCATTCACAAACGAGCAGCTTACTGTCCAATTATAGGTTGTATATATAAACAATTTCTACGGCAACACAAAAGCAAGGAAATCACATTTCTGACAATCAGACTAAATACATCAATAAAATGCAGCAACATTAGAAAAATATCATCAAAATAATCAAATAAAACACAAAGTTCAGAAAATTTGATGATGAAATTGAAAATCGAACACAAAGTGATAAACTAAGCCGAAAAAATCGAGCACAAACTGATAAACTTAAAATGAAAAAATCGAACACAATTGAGAAAAAATAAAACCGAAAAAATCGAAATCAAATTCAAAAAATTAAGCCGAAAAATCAAACACAAATTGAAAATAGAGAAATTGGTCAATATACAATGAAATGATCGATTAACGTAGAAAAATTTGATGACGAAATTGATGTGCTCAGAATGCCAAACGAAGAAATTAAGCTGAATTATAACATAATTAAACTTAAACTCGATTAAGAATGAACTACCTCAAATAAAGTTAAATTACTCCTACGAAACTTACAAAATTTGCCAAAAATTACAAAATTAATAAAAAACAGAAGCAAAGTACTCAAAAAAATTGCACAAATCGGAAACGAAAAACTCAAGAAATTACTCAAAAAACAACGATATGAAGAAATTATGAAAAACGCAAAATAATAACTCAAAAAACAATTAAAAAATCAGAAAATAACAAAAAACAGAAACGAAAAACTCAAAAATTACACAAATAAGAAACGAAAAACTCAAAAAAAAAAAAAAAAAAAAACTCAAAAAACATTGATTAAAAGCTAAAATAAAGCAAAATTATAAACGATTTCCTTACTTGATAGATCGTAGACAATAATAGGAATCAATTTGATGAAGAATCGAATCAATCACAACTATGCTTTGGAGAAGTAGTATGAAGTTTGAGGAAGAATGTAGAAATCAGGAAAGAGAAAAGAGAGGAGAGAGAATGTTATGCATGAAAATGCAGGAGAGAGAAACCAAAAGGCTGGAAAAAACCCCTACCGTAGGATAAGATGAGTTTGAATCTACGGTCAAGATTTTGTGTTTTCAGTTTTTAACTTAAGGTTGGTTTTCACATGATCCAACTCCTATATATATATATATATATATATTTTGAATAAACTGAAAGACTTATACTCGTATAAGTTACTGGTATATAGCTTCCTTCAACACGTTGTTGCAACTTTTATTTATTTTATTTACATTCAAATTATCAAACAGGGGAAGCCTACCAAATTGGTCATTCAATAAAATGATGTCTATAAAGACTTGTTCCAAACAACTATTTAAGCACTTTGAGAGAAAAATAATCCCAAGTATTTTTATATATTACGGTCAAAGACGTGTAAAAGCCAAAATAAGAATAAGAAAATTACATACAAAGTAGGAAATTCTTCATTGCAAAGCAAAATCAAGATTGCATTCCTGCGTTACTTCCTCCCACTTTCTTATACTCGGTTGATTACATGTCTAAGATATTCAGCATAAATAATAATCGAAATGGTATAATTTCCTAACAAAATTTTCATATATTGACTTTATATATGTTTCTGGAAGTTCTAGTAGTTGAATATTCTATCAGTAAACCCAATTTTGACGACAATATATCTTCTAAATGCATCAAACTCCTCCCTTTATCTAAATCAAACAAAGGGAGGAGAGAAAAAAAAAATTGTGATTTCTTAGGCACAAAGAGTTTTGTTAAGAACGACAATGAACGACTTATTATCAAGTTTCTCCCAGCACCGGAAGAATGGTTCTGGTGACATAGAGATGGGGGATGTAGGTGCAAACCTCGAGAAGTTCTTTGAAGACGTGGCGAAGATTGAGGATGATTTGAAGGAGATAGAGGAGCTCCACCACAAGCTGAGGGCGGCTCATGAGGAGAGCAAGACAGCACACAAATCTGGTGTAGTGAAGGCAATCCGGTCTAGGATGGACCAGGATGTGAACCAGACAATGAAGAAGGCTAAACACATCAAGGAGTGCCTTCAGGCCCTAGATAAGTCCAATGTTGCAAGTCGAAGCCTGCCAGATTGCGGTCCAGGAAGCACGACAGACCGGACTAGGACCTCGGTTGTTGGGGGTCTAGGGAAGAAACTTAAAGACAAGATGGATGAGTTTCAAGAGCTGAGAGCGAAGATTAATGAAGAGTATAAAGAGACAGTTGGGAGGAGGTATTATACTGTGACAGGGGAGAATCCAGATGAGAAGACAGTTGATTTGCTGATTAGCAGCGGAGAGAGCGAGACCTTCCTGCAGAAGGCCATTCAACAGCAGGTTCGTTCTGTCATAACCACTTTTTAACAATACTCTGTGCTGCATATAAATATATGAATGTCCACAAATCAAATGCATGGAATCAGAAAAATAAACTAGTCGCAGACCTCACAGTAATGTGTATCAGATCATTACTTTTTCTGATTATTAAGATTAATGAATGTTCACAGCTGAAGTCGATAATTCATGCTCTAAACAATGCCTATATCACGAAAATGGAACATAGGCTCCACAAATATGTGTTCTGAAGATGGGGAGCAATGTTAACGGGACTTAAAAATTGCATAGGATAAATACATCTCATTTAAGACGTATGGGGAATCAAGAAATCTAATTTGAATACCTATCATTTTAAGAAATGTATTGTGAAAGAGTAAATGTTTACAAAAATAGAAAGTTGAAGCTTGTACAGAAATCTTATAAAAAGAACTCAGAGCGCCTTAGTTCAAAGTCATGAACCATTAAAAGAACTGAGCAAGTCATCAGGAAACAAAAATAATAGAGTGAAAACCTGTTCAATGCCATACTCATCATTTCCAAAATAAAATGCTATAACTTGTATTTTTTAGAAGATATGTATGACTAAATGAGTGAACAAAATCATTGTGATGCGAATGCAGGGCAGAGGACAGATACTAGATACAATTGCTGAGATTCAAGAGAGGCACGATGCTGTTAAGGACATAGAAAGAAGCTTGATGGAACTACATCAGATATTTCTCGACATAGCAGTTTTGGTTCAGCATCAAGGGGAGCAAATTGACGACATTGAGGCCAATGTTGATAGGGCTAATTCCTTTGTGCAGAGGGGAACAACCCAACTGCAGCAAGCTAGAAAACACCAGAAGAATACCCGAAAATGGACTTGCTTTGCCATAATTTTGCTGCTCATCATCATAATGGTTATTGTCCTCTCTTTACGTCCATGGTCCAAGTAGTTCCTATGCAGGTCGTGAGCTTCTAGATGTAGAGATTGAAGCCTTATTTTCTATAGTTTCCTTCATCTGTTACAAATCCCCTTATTTTTTCACCATTATATGTTTAATTTGCCAATATTATTGTAGATAAGTTATGTATTTTATAGAGAGCATCAGGATTGAATTTTGATCAGATATATGTATACTATACTGCTACATGTTCCTTTAAATAAGAGTAAAAAGGTTATGAATTTGAAACCGGAATGTAAAGCAAGTTCTGTGGTGCCATGTACTAGCCACACCATCCCGCTAAAATCAACAAGATCATGTTCAATCAAACAATACAAAAATGGGAGCAGAGTTAACAAGATAGAAATTAGATGTGGCCATCTTGAAGTATAGAAAAGAAAACAATGCACAAGCTTCACAGTAGAAAATAGACCAAAAAACTTGCATAAGATTTCCAGTAAAATCTAAAACTTCATTATGACAATTCATCTCAATAAATAAAAACAGAACAAGTTCTGAGCTTATCATTCTCTTCTACAAACCATTCAAGTATCAGCAAACGACTAACAAACAAGTCAATAAAATCCTAAAAAAATCAGACTTCATCCTCATGAAGAAGCATGTTAGGGATACCTTTACTAACAGGGAACTTGCGGCCAGTTTCAGGGCAAACCAGAGCGCCTTCTTCAAGGTGAATCTCAAGGAGCGCATGGTGGAACTTGGTGAGAAAATCTTGAGAGTCAAGTAGAGAAGGGTCAACATCTTCAGGCAGTTCAGAATATCCCAATGTCTTGGCAGCTTCAACAAAGGGCTTCCACTCGATCTTGGTGAAGATGTTCTTGAGGAAATCCGTATTCATATCGACCTCTTTCTCCACCACCTTCCCCGCCTCTATCTTTAAAGGGAACCCGTCTGTTACCCCTTTAATATTTGAGGATAGCATGTTGTGTGTCAATAGCCTCATCTCAAATCCTTGGGGAATTATGCCAGCAGCAATGTCCTAATTCTTCCAGCACCAAAATGCAACCAAAAGCTATATCAGCAAACATCTTAACTTATCTTAGATAACCACAGAAAAAATTAATCATTCGAGTAATCGAATTCATCGAGAAATCAAGTTATTCGAGTAATCATATCAAGGCCATCCCTGAGACAAGGAAAGAGGGGCAGCCGCCAAGGGCCTAAAGAGGAAAGGTTCATTTTCATAGTTCTGTCCTACGATAAAGGGTTATAAACAAACAGTTTACAACAAATTAGCAACCGAATTTGACTCATTTATCAAATTAGGTTCCAAAATTCACTTCGAATTCTAGCAACAAAATCAATATAAATTCAGTAATTGTAATCAATAGTTCACTCAACCCTAATCAGACTGTACTGACAGTTAAATTAACGATAAACCCTAGACAGTGATATTGATATTCGATGATTAAAAAAAGAAAAAATATATTTCTTACCTCAGGAGCCGCTTCAATGGAGGAGAGAGTGCTCAGAAGCCGCTTCAATGGAGAAATTAGAGTATGCGCTTCAATGGAGAGGAGAGAGGGGGAGGATGTACCGTGTAAGTGAAAAGCTCCGAGGAAAAAAAATAAAACAAAAAAAAGGGAATTGTAGGAGGAAGAGTTAAGAGAAAACTCTCGAGGAGAGGATAAAGATAATTGATTGATAGGTGGAATATGTCAAGTATGTATGGGAAATAAATTAAGGATAAGTAATAAATTTATAAAATTACCCTTATTAATTTTTACCTTTTCTTCTTACCCTTTTAATTTCATTAAGGGTAATTTAGTCTTTTGAAACTCATTTCTTATCCCTCCCCCTTATACCACTCCCCTAGTTAGAAATAGAGGGATAAGTGGGTGTTTTTATCCCTATCTCTATTCCTAACCCCTTTCTAATCTCCATCCCTTTAAACAAACACTACATTTCTTTTATCCCTATTTTTTATCCTTGTCCCACCCCATTTATCCCCGTAAACAAACACCCTCTCTAAGTAAAGGTACATTCTACATACTTCCTCTGTTCATTTTTACTTGACCTATTTCATTTATCACGCTTGCCAATGTAGAATTTTAATGATCAATAATTTTAATTCCCCATAAGTAAAAATTATAAAAAGTTATATATTATGATGGTATTTATTGAGACGAATCTAACAAGATTTCAAATGAATGTGTTTTTACTTACATATAATTCACTAAAGACGGCCAAAGAAGAGGTGTTGAATAATGTAAAAGTCAAAGCAGACCAAGTAAAAAAGAATGGAGAAAATAGTACATACCCATGCGGTATAAACCCATGCATATCATGACAGTTTTTGTAAATAATATTCTACTTCATATGAACCTTTTTTGTAGTATGAGATAGAGTAGTAAATATTTTGTTCATTAGATAGTGTAATGGTGTTATTATATAATTTGATGGCATAAATATATTTTTTTAGTTGTATAAATAGAGTATTTTGAACTAAGTAAATTTCAATGATACTAATGGTGTACAAAATGTACCACTAAGACTCCAATTTATATACAAAGTATGTTTCTAATGATACATAAAAATACTATTGAAACTTAATACTTCACAGCAAATGACCAAAATACCTAGTGTTGTCTGATGCTCATACAGCACGGGTATGTACCCAATCCGACTTGAAATGGTTGGACTTTTATAGATCCAACAATTTTAAATTTGAATCTAAATCTAAATCTACTTCCAAAGATACGATTTTTGTATCCGAATCTTGTTAGTTCTGATCAAAATCCGACCCATTGTCATCCATTGTGGTAACAACCAAATCAACAATTGAAAAGTTTAATTACGTCTAATATTTAAGTCATGGACACAGTGGTGGCAGTGTGAGTGATGATGGCTTGGGTGTTAGTAGATGTCGGTGTCTTTGGTGATGGAAGTAGTCTGGGTGGTGATTGTTTTAGTGGTGGTGATGGCTCAAGTAAATAAGAGTGGAAGGGAAAAGTAAGTGAAATGAGTTTATAATAATCTAAAGACATTTTAATCATAACTTAAAACTTTTTTTTTTTATTTTTTTTGTTGAATTACTTAAATAGCATTACGTATGACCTTAGGTGTAATATTTTAACTGCGAGTGTTGTTAGTATCACATGTTGATTGTTGCCTGATCGATAGGAGTGTGAACTACTACGCATATACTAGTGTCAAACAGACAAACAAACCGTATGGTGTGGGGTTTACGAATTTTTGCCTACTAGCCGATTTCCACATCTATGATATTTGATTAAGTCTAGAATTAATTACTCTAGTTAGTTGACGGTCCAACAACAATGTCCACTAGTCAACATTCAAACAAAAGGATCATCCTGCCTTCATTATTTTACCCACTTTGCCAAATTAGAAACAAATTCATCACTCAATAATTCTCAATTTCTATCTCAAAATTTTAGGGTATCTTTTTTATTCTAGTAGTCTTAGATGTTGTCTCTTCAAATCAAATTATTACCACTTTGGTTTCTTCTTTTATGGATTTCTTCATCAACTTTCATGGTAGAATCAAAATGCAAAAAAGGGTGTCCAGCTTTAGCTTCATACTATGTATGGACAGGGGCAAGTATCACATTCATAGCCCAAATTCTGGGAGCTTCTACAGATGATATACTCAGTTACAACCCAAGTGTTCCTGACAAAGATAGGGATAGATCTGGTAGCAGGATCAACGTTCTGTTCTCATGTAGTTGCCTTAATGATGGGCAATTATTGGGTCAGTTTGAGTATAAAGTTCAAAAGGGTGATACTTATGCTAAAATTGCACAGGAATACTATTCAAATCTTACTACTGCAAATTTGATTTCAGAACTTCAATAGTTTTCCCACAAATAATGTACCTGAACATTCCATTCTTAAGGTTCCTGTTAATTGCTCCTGTGGGAATAGTGATGTTGATAAGAACTATGGTTTATTTTTTACTTACCCACTTCGTCCCGAGGATAGTTTGAGCTCTATTGCTCAGTTTTCGAATTCGACACCAAGTTTACTGCAGAGGTATAACCCAAATGCGAAATTTAGTGCTGGGACTGGGATTGTGTTCATTCCTGCTAAAGGTATAAATATCTTCAGAGTACTATTTGTGCAGTGATTTGATTTGATTTACTTTTATGATGGTAGTTTAATTACTCAATTAAATGTAGAAGTAATTAATTATCTGGTTATGTGTTGCTTTGGGAATTGCTGTTTTCAATGAATTTTAATGTTCAAGAGCAACAGTGATTGTGTTGTTTTTGTTTTGAGGGTGTGCATTTCTTCACAAAAAACAAGAGCTTGGGTGTGAATATGTGATCATCTATCTGATTTTCCCTCTATTTTTTTGGTTGGTTTTTTAAGTTTTCATTTTATTAATCTGAAATATGAATGCTCCAGACAAACCAAATGGAGTGCTTGATGCACAAAATCTCAGAATTGGGTGTGGGGCTAACCAAGACCTGAGATTATATTCATTCTGGATCACAGCCGTTGAATCTCTGTTAGGCCAAATTTAAATAAATAAATAAATAAACGTAGTGCATGTTTTGTAAGAGACTCAGATGATTAAGATTAAAATAAGTTGGCTAACTTGTATGGTTGTACCTCATTCACCCCCTCTAATGTCAGGAGTTAAGTTTTCGTTAATGTCAACTTTGATGCTTGAGAAGGGAAGACAGGAGCTAATAATTCTAAGAGGGAAAAAGATCACTAGGGTAATTGAAACGACCAATAGGGTGAGGCTGGGGCATTATGAATCTTAGTCTTTTAAGCTTCAAAGGCAACGGTTGTTAGGTTTCTATCTTTCTCAAATAAGTAAAAGAAGTGTATTGATGAGATGGACTTTCTCAGGCTCTACTATTTTTAAGGAGCTGCCGTGATATCTCGATATTTCGAGAAATTAATGATGTCAAACTAATTGTGAGAAGTAGTCATGACTTTAATATGTTGTAACAATGTTTTAAGAGAATGTATGCTTAACATGATGTAACTAATATATATTTGGGGAAGATGAGAGGTAGCTGGCTTAACAGAAATATTAAGTCCTGTAATTCCTTAGTGTTTTAAATATTTTTTTCTATGAGAAGGAATTTGCTGATGGCAAAAGAGAAGCTAGAACTGATTGACAAATCCAAGAAGCAATGTGCCTTCGGTATCGATGTCAGTTGTCATGGTTTTGGTAAACTCTTGATATGCAGTTAAAATATCAAAAAGAGTTTTCTAATTAAGAAAGAACTGACTAGCGTAAAACAAGATTTGGCCTAGGCAACTTTATAACAGAAGACAAAGTGAAGATCAAATAATGAACTTATGAACCCATTCAGTCAGCTGGAAAACCAATGTCTCCAAATGGGAAAAATTAGTGTGATCTTATTGCTGTTCTATATAAATTTGGTTGAACTTATGTTCCAAGGGATAGGCTAAGAAGTAATATCATTGTATGTTCTTCTCTTCCATGATGATTAACAGTTTTAACACTTTTACCGTCAAGAAATATCAATAATGAGGAGGATTAAAGCTTTTATGGTATTTCACCTGCTTCGTATCCTGCCTTTGATTTTTTTTTTTTTTTTTTTTTTTTTTTTTTTTTTTAATCTTCACTGGAGAAAATAAAACCTGGGCAAATTGTAAATTTGTAATAAAGTAAGAAAAACCAAGTGTATGCTTTTTGTTTATGGAACATGCTTATGATTATTTTCCTTGTATATGCTCTTGAAAGTTGAAATTGTTTCACTAAGTTTTTTTTTTTTTTTTTTTTTTTTTTTTTTTTTTTTTTTTTCCCATGATTTGATTACAGATAAAACTGGACAATATCCTCCTCTGCCTCCAAGGTACTATTCGATGGTAATACTGGGCATATATATAGGGAAAATTCCATCATGATAACTCTGGTTAAGTTTTTTAGTTTATATGACAGTCAAACAATGTTTTGTCATATTTTTTTCCTTGCTTTCTTCAGATTTTAGATGAATATTTCTGTGTTAGTGTTCCCTTAGTTTACATATCTATGTGCATAGTCGTCACTAATTGTTCGCACCACTTTTCTATTACCATGTGGAGATATGTATGTAAATTAACAATGTAAACCCTTAACTTCAGTTTTGTTCCCTCTTATAGAAGATTGCCCTCTGGACTTTTCCCAAAGCTTTAAAAAGAATAGTTGACTTACTTTAATTATGATGTGTAATACAAGCAATTGCTAATGTTGGAACCATAATTTTATAATATTCATATTAATGTACTACCTCTATTGTTGTTGTGTGTTTTTTTTTTTTTAAATTTTTTTTTTTATATTTTATTTTATTATAATTATTATTTTTTATTCCACTCACTTTTTGTTTAAGTCCGATTTTTTGTTCTACACATTTCAATTTTGTTCTATTTGGCAAACCTCCCTTATTATCTTACCCCACAATATTTATACCTTTTTAACATTCTCTATCATACTTTATCCACTTTCTCCTTGTACCTACTAAGGTAGCACCGTAGTACAAGTAATCCTATACTACCTTCATTTTATAATATAGTTCCTCCATTTCCTTTTAATTTACTCACTTTCCTTTATAGAATGTTTCTTTTTAATTTACTCTCTTACAACCTACGATTTTTAGAAATGAGACTCACCACTTTTACCGTCACAAATAATACTTTTATATGTTATTTTTCTCTCTTAAATTAAAA